CGGTTTGTACAACAGGTCTAGAGGAAGGCATGTCAGCCACCGCCACTACCACCGCCACTACTGGACAGCCCCAGATCCAAGGGACGAATCGAACTACTTCATTCCAATCACGAAGACTAGTCTATCATAGGAAGCGACTAAAAATAGGCGAATACTTCCTTCGAAGTCAGAAAATGTCCACAAACTGCTTTGCATAATCTGACACTTCGCCAAAATTCAGAATGCGGTTGACGCATTTAACGATGTCGGCCAGTAGAGGTCCGTTATCTGTCTGATCTAAAGCAGCGGCTAGTCAAAAGTTATTTTTGTTGGTGTGTGCTACGGCAAATCAAACATAATAAAATAGACATTTGTCTTTTTATGGTCACGCATGGCCATTTAAGCCCGACTTAAGAGAAGAATTTGGTACATAAAGCGCTGCAAGGCGAACTGATTTATGCAACAATTACAAAACCTAACTTAATAGCACCTACCCCGTGATTCTATGCACTAAGACAGCAAGTTGGAATCGATAAACCAAGTCTACAGAACTGAGTCTGAAACCCAGAAGTCTTACTCTTAGAAATATTGTGCCACCCGTTTGTAGCTATTCATGCCTCTAGGGAAAAAAACAAATACAAACTGCGGCATTATGCAACTTTAGAATTGGAGCCTCATCCTCCTCCATGCTACGTAATTTGATGAAGGAACAAAATCTCCAAACTGATCGACTGGGTCTGCTCTTTTTCGCTTTGCAGTTGAGCCAAATAAATAACTAAGCGATTTAAGTGAGCTTAGAGTCTACACTACAATAACCAAGGTCTTAATCTTTGTGCCCTGGAATTTTGGTTGGCAATTTAAACAAAATGTCACTTATTGTCCATGAGGAGTACTCGTCTAAATACGTTACTATTACGAGCGATGGACGGAGCTGTATAAACTAAATTTATACGCTACTATACTTCACGTTCGACAAAACAGTTTTGTACAGTTTAATAACTATCGGTCACGACAAGATTTGAATTTGGTTAGATGGATTTCTGTAACTAAAGAATCCAAAAGGATTTAGACAAAAGAAGCACGAAAACTATGACAATCTTTGAAAGGAATGGTCTTCTATAAATTAATATGACTAGATTAAATTAGTTACAAATATTGCAAACGATTTATCACAATGACGAGCTCCAGTCAGGAGGAAGAGAATGTGGCCGAAATGTAGGAAAAGAGGCAAACCCTTCAAAAGACAATACTGAAAAATGGAAATTACGATCTATAACGAGTTAATGAAGCGCAATTTGCACGTTTAAAATTGTTTACGATACCTTCGGCTTCTGATCAAATTAAGTTGTTATGAATGTAATTCAATTTTCACCCTCTTGTTTTTCGTTAAGTGTGTTTTGGCTTAAAAGAAGCCTATATCACAAAACCAATTGGAAGGTAGAGATCGTGTTGCCAAAATTAGGAAAACGAATGCGCACTTGTTCGACGTTACTCATATTAAGGACGGCTATCAAAAATTAAGAACTATCAGGCCAGCAAACGGATATTATGTGTTTTAAACCAATAATCATTACAAAGTGAGCAAAAAGCTTTCGAGTAAAGGTTAAACTAAAAAAGGATCCGAAAAACCGTGATATATATATATATATTAATTCAAACTTGACACACTTTCATGAATATGTACAGGAGCGAGACAACTTACCGTCAATCCAACTTGTAGGACAACAACGCAAGTCATATAAAACATGAATTTTGCAAATTCCGAATGCCAGGGTACCGTGTAAAAGAGTAAGAAGAAGCAAATCACGCTGATTGGCGTCGAGAATATGATCCTAAACGGAGCGAATAAAAATGAAAATTAGATATTTTTGTGTTTAAAGAATCTTCTCCTACGAAAAATGAAAAATGCAAGGATGTAAGGCGTAAGGTTTACCATAAGGGACTTTGTAGGCTTAAGACGTGGATAACGGGTACTAGGCAGTTAACCATAAGTGTCCAATGACGTCTGGAAAATTTTAAATGAGAATGAAGAGTCCCGAAGTAGAGTACAAGTAATTACCGCTAGTTAGATAGGATAAATTACTTGTACTCTAATTTATAGCTACGTGGGGTGAGTGCTGCCAGTTCCAGGAACACCAGGACTATAAGGGTGTTATAGGGGGCTGATGCTAACAGGAACATGTGTTCCCGTCGCCAACCCCGCCTAGTGCAGGGGTGTGTGCTGACAGGGACGTTTACCATAAAAACAAACGTAAGGGGTATGCCAATGCTGACGATTTTGGATAGTTTTGATTATCTGAAAACATACCATGGGCGTTTACTTCCCATCCGAGTTTTTGTTCGAAGAACAAGGTATCCTACAAATGGGTCCGTCACGGCATCCGATATACGAGCCGCGAACTGGATAGCAGAAAGATAATATGGAGTTATCTTCGCCGTTTCCAGAAGAAAGAGTGGGAGAAAAAATGATATGATGTTCTGTGTTAACTGCATCGGTAACCCGCCAGCAGCGTACGCCAATTTTCTCCATAGAGGTAAAGGTTCGTCAGAGTTCGAGATGGTCGCTACCGAGTAGCAGACCTCTGCGGCCGTAGTATTGTACCCTTGATCATCAACGGCGTCTTCGAATAATTCCTTTCCTTCAGCTTCATCATAAGCAGAATCCCTTCTTATCATTGAAAGCTTATACAGTAATGCGAATGGTTAACGGAAACACAGAACGCGACATAAACGTGCAGCCGTAAAACCGATTCCCTCTTCAAGGTGAACGAAAGGTTGCAACGTTTGGTAAGTTAAAAGAGTAGCCTCCGTCGCCAGATGTATCCCGAGTATAGACACCTGAATGCTTGAATTGCTTGCGCAGGATTTTATAAGCATACAATAATTAGTTCCGTCTCTTTACTCGAACTTCCGTTTGCGGCATTAATAATTGGCATTATTCGAGTTGAAGGCGTTGCAGTTCCCAGTTTATTTCGGTTTCTCATAAGCACCCGTCATAATACTTGATTAAACATGTTTCCCAAACAAATAGTTATTGCCAAACAAGCTCATTGCTTTTCGAAAAAGTGTTGTTCCATTCGCTGTTTATAGGTTACTGTCATTTTCTCATTTACACAGTGGTCTGTAAATATCTGTTATTTAACAAAAACAGCTTCAGTCCTATTTATTTCATATTTAAACTTCTTTAAGTTTCCGAGCTTTAAGACTGCCGATTTTTACGAGAATAAAATATCGATTCTCACA